TTTCTCTTTCACTGAGGGAATTAAGAAATAGGAAGATATGATTTTTTTTCCTTATGGAACTTTTATGTCCAAAAACAATTCCATCATCTTAACCAGCTCTGAAACTATTAGACATAGTGAGGAGGATTAGGGGTTAGCAGAGCCAACGCAAGACAATACATCTTTATAGCCTGACCATTTTACAGAGAGTTCCTCTATTTTCATGTAACTTTATCTACCATTTCAAGCAGGCCCAAAGAACTATGGTTTAAAACATAAACAGCAAATAACTTTGAGAGTTTGCTTGTTCTAGGAAATAGCAGAAAGGTACTGTTGCTGTTGTGTGGTGTACACGTGGATTGAGAATAGAGTGAAACATGTAGTTACTTAGTGTGACCTGTAATACTTTCTTATTATAATTATAAAATACTATAATTCTACTTTTTAATGAATTCTTTTTTCTTACATCAATCTAATTAGTAAGATTTCACTGTGAATCATATCACAAACTAATATAGAGGTACAACATATCCTTTGGAATAAGCAGCTATAAAGTTAATCATTATCATCACTAATAGTACCTCAAATTAGGGCTTTCTGTATCGAAGCAAGTATTTTTCTATTTATAAACCTATATACATATAGACAGCAGATAAATTTCCCACACATATAAAAGGCCTTGAGGAGGAATTCATAAGCTTGAGATAAATCTTTGGTGCCTAATCACCAGTTTCAGACATAGGAAACAATTCAAGAATCAAGAGTGAGAAATGGACATAAACAGGGAGATAGTTATATTAATCAATTGAAAAATATAGTGCAAATGTCTACTTTAGAATTTCCTACAGGCGCTCAGACAAAAAGGCAAATATTTTCATAACAGTCTTGCTATTTTTGAGTTTAGGAAATGGGCTTATATATGAAGTGATAGGTTACAATTACTACTACACTGTTTTCTCCTGGGATCACAGAATTTTCATACCACATGAAAGCTTCAAAATTTCACGCTGTAGTAGGAAATAAAAAAATCGCTGAAAAAGTTGGAAACTATGGAAATAATAATTCTATTCTTTAGTGATATATTTACCTTTCCAAATTTTATAAAAGTGCTAAGGTCTACCTACTATTGTAATGTTAACGTATTTTCAGGTTATATCAGTAATGTTATATAATTGATATTGAAGAAATAATCCCATTTTGTGGATAATGTACCATACTGAAATGGAACATCAGACATTTTTGTGGACACATCTTAGAAAATATCATACTCTATTTCTCAATCAAACAATGGTTTCACCAGATTTAAACTTTCTATGTTATTGTTTCAGACTTGCTTAGAAAAATGTTGTCACTAAAATCTGTCTTCTAAAACATGACGCAAATTTTGCTATACTTTTACAATGAATAAGTGGTATTAATTCTGTAGAGTTCTCCTCTTTTTGAAAAGTAACAAGAATTGTTAGTGAAATTAACCCAAAATTCCTGAGACTACATATCACCTGGCAGCTAATGTTCAACTTAACACTTAGGTGCAAAATGAAAGTGGGTCGCAGAAGTCATCCCAAAATTATTCAAAATGATGAAACACAAAAGTAACACTCGAACAATTTTGTCACACAGTTTTGCAGAGTAGGTAGGGTTTTAAAAATAGCAACAGCAAAGGAAAAGATGTTTTCCCACACATGACCACAAATGCACCCCAAAATGTATTCTGGTTCATTTCTAGCTGAGCCACCAGTCAAAGAGTACGCTGATAGTTTGCGATCACACCATGCTCCTGTTTTTGTAGTTGTTTTCCAGTTACCTTCACAGTTAAAGTGGGAACGGAGATGTCCATGTTCAGGAGAGTGTCAAAGGTATTATTGCTCAATATAAGAACAATTATAGCACTCTTTTTCTTTTTTTGTCATACTGATGCTGAGGATTCAACCTGTGGCTGTCACACAGACCTACACCCTAGCTTTCCTTTTTTTTCTTCAATTATTTTTTTTAAATCTTGAGAAAGGGTCTTGCTAAATCCCTAAATTTCCTGTGCAGGACTTGAACTTGCGATCCTCTTGCCTCAGCCTCTCAGAGGGCTGGGATTATAGGCTGCACAACCACACATGACAGACAATATAGCATTCTAGCTTTTGAGTGATGTGTACATAGCAAATATTCTTATAAATGTATATTTTAAGAATTTTAAACAACTATTCAATTTTCAGTAACTCTGTGGTTGTTCTTAATTGAAAGAGCATTTCATCTTTTAAGAGAAAATATTCTAGACCAAGTCTTTTTGCTTAACACAGAATTTACATCGTCTCTTAAATAGGAAATATCCTGTTTAGCCAAGCTCATTCTTGAAGAGGTCGCCAAATAATGAAGCGGGCTTCTAAGGAAGACAGAAGAAAATTTTATCAAGTACATCAGTGAGGGGTCCAGTTTTAGCCTGGAGACGCTCAGCACACTGGAGTTGAGCTTTCGAATCCAATTGGCTCCTCACTTCCTAGAACCACGGACAAGTGGGATCCAGAAAGTTAATGGCGAACTCACCACCAGAGACCTGAGCAGATCCCCTCTCCTCACGCACGCTCTGCCCCAGAGGGCACTAGTTAACAGCGGCAAATCGAACCATGACACAAATTGAAGGGCATGATGTAGATTTCCCTCCCTTACTAACCAAGCTCACAAGAGAATTCATTTCTTTTCTTTTTTGCCTGAGGCATAGAGGGGCTAGCAATTTTCATTTCCTTACTGAAATGATTCCCTCTTCTCCACAGCCTGGCCTATTAGAGTGGAGATGAATTAAAAGTTCAGGTTAAGATTTTTTAAAAACTAGGAATAGGAAGGAAATAAATTTACATGGGAGATTTGCCTTTAGTTTTGTATATGATTCCTTCCTGATCATGATAAAGCTATCTGTTAATCATGCTCTTCCCCACAAAATACTCCCTTGGTGAAGACATGAATCTGACTTGAGGTATGGTAGCAAAATAAAAGCCTCTTTCAACAGAATATTACTATGTTACTGGTCATCCTTATATTTAAGGGTTCTAGAATACTTATGGGTCAAATTAGGAAGTTTGGGTACATGCTAGAAAGTTAAACTGATGTTAAAAGAGCAGGTTGACTCCCCATATTATAGAGGATGGAAATAGCAAAAAGTGGAAAATTTTTCGTGGTTTTTACCAAGCTTAAAATATCTGGATCTTTAAGAAATAGTGTGGATAGATGTTTATAAAATGCTAGGTCACACCTGAAGTTTAGCAAGTAGGTTTTTTTTCCACTCAGAACCTAAAAATAAAGACTTCTATAGCAAAACATCCTCTCTATTGATCTTTCAGATTTTACAATGTTGAAGTTCAAAGTACATATACTTTAAATAACTCCCCACAACAACCCCAGAAACAAGGCATTCTTCTCGTTGGAGGTCTGTTAATTCTGTTATGGACAAAAGGGAAGGCGATTCAGTGTAAATTCCCCTCTGGGAGAAGCTTGGGTCTTTACAAGTGACTATAGTTCTTTCCTATTTTTTAAAGAAGAAAACTAATTGTGTAAGTATATGTACTCTTGCAGTAGTAGGGCAAGGAACTAATGTATCATACAAGGAATAGATATAGAACAGCAGACCACAGATGCACTGCATTTGAGTTATGTGGGGTTTTAATAGTTCTAGGGTTTGTGAAGACAAGAGACTGGGACCCAAAAAAGGGCCTTAGTTTTTGAAAACGAGGACAACTGGGGACTCTCAAGAGTGAAGGTTTTATTTAGGCTGATAAGGTTTTCATGACTGAGCAAATTTTGATGGACAAATGATAGTAATCTCTGGCATTTTCTGAGCTGCAGAGAGCTCCAAGTCTGCGCCAAAGGCTTTTTTTTTTGCATTATCTCATTTAATCCTACTGTTAATGCTATTAAGTGAGGAGCTTTTATCACCTTAGGCTTACAGAGTTTAAACAACTGGGTCAAGTGACATAAAGACAGAATGGTAAAAGTAATCCTTTGACCCTCCTGTACAGGGCAGACAATCTATGAATTGTGTGCATCAAGAAAAATGTTCTTCACATTTCTTATGTAAGAAATTTCATAAACAATGAATGACTGGTTTGATTTCTGGCAGGCAGCCACCCCTTCCTCCCCAACAAAGGGGATTTGCAAACAGGTCTGCTCCGGACATGCGGCACAAGGAAACTAGTAGCTTTAGAAACACAGAACGCAGAGAGATGGATAAATATTTCAATGACTTTTCCAGAATAGTACTTAAGGAGCACAGTCCATCTCAGTTTGGGTTGGAGCCCATGGTCTTATGGTTTAAATATAAAATGCATTAAAGCCCTTTATTTAGAGAACCATAAGCCATTTTTAGGGAGCAGCCCCAATTCTTCCTCTGACTTTAGCAGGAGGACAATGCAAATAGGTGTCTCAATACTGTCATTAGTATTCATTATTTATTAGGACTTGATGGTGTATTCAAAGCCCGCCAGGACGGTCATGTGACCCTTCAGGAAAAAACTCGACCCCAAGGACAGCACTTTCTGGTGTGCAGCCTGGAGGCCATAGACAGGGTGAGGGAACAATAGCAGGAGGACCCCACTCTGGTCAGGGGCTCTGAAGGGGATGAAGTAGATCCTGATTTTCTATTCAGAAAAAAAACCAGAATGGTGCTGCCATTTGAAGTTTCTAACAAGTCACTTCAAAGGCATAGGCTGTGACTCATTCATTGGCTAATTAATAAGAAGAGAAGAAAAGACACGGAAGAAGACATAGAACCAAATAACTGGAAAATAGAGTACTTTGCACATAGTAAGAGCGAACACTGTTTCCTGAGTATTTCCTTCTAGTGGATACAGCCATTCCCCGAATCTGAGTACTTACTTTGGAGTGTGGTTTGCTATTCATAAGTGTTTGTAAGCCTCTGGCCTATAGTAACTGTTTTTCTTAGTAATCACCTTGCCCCAGGAGTTACATAGGTCAGTATGTAACGGTGGCTCTCTGTAGGTCTCCTAACCTTTCTGTGCTTCCGTTTTCTCCTTTGGCAGGTCCAAAAGCACGGCATTATCAGAACATTACCAAGAAGACCCACTGAATCAGAACCGCTATTGCACTTTGAGACGCTAAAGATGGTCAGCTAAGGTAAAGGGTTATTATGAAATAGAGTGAAACTGTTTTGAAGGCTAGACCCAAATCATTTTGCTTCAGACATAAAATCATAGCAAACACTGTAAAATCTGTTCATTTTATAAAGGGAAAAGTAGGCTCCGAAGGAGTTGGCCTTGCCAAATTCCCAAAATCCTAGTTGATCTCGAACCCCTTGACTTGTATGCAGATCAGTGTATCACTTATGTAACCTGCTGCTCCCCCATTAGCCAGTTTGCAACTTCTTGCAAAACAAAGGAGCATCTTGTGAAATTTTGTTTATAGGACATTTACAACTCTCCAAAAGCTAGGTGGAGTCCCCTTTCAAAGTAGTTTTCTGATTGCAATTACATCAATTAAACTCCAGTCCCAAGGAAAAAATCAGAGGGACCATGCACTGCATCTCCAAGAAGAGCTAGCAAGAATTCTTTGAAACACTTTGCACATAATGCAATAAGCTACAAAGAGTAAATACTACTACTCCCTGCCTGAAATGTCAAGTAGATGTTTCTTTTTAAATGGTATTGGAAAGGAAGAAGGAAGAATGTTTCTTTCCTCCCTTTAATGATCTAAACTGAAAGTAAGGAGAGAACCAGAAGTGTCACCTCCGATGTGCCATTTGTCTCTCCAGGGGAAAAAGTGGTGTAGAACATAGGCTTGGAAGATATAGCAAGGTCGTTGCTCAATTTTATGTTGTAACGCTATTTTAACTGTCACTGAGGGCCGGGATGGCGAATATTGCATCAACTCCTGTGCAAGGTGTTTCCTGGGCTTCTCAGAGAGAGGCGCAGCGGAGGTGCAATCTCTCTTCTTGTGAAGGCCAGATAAAGCCTTCTGCCCTGGCCACTATCTTTTAGTGCTGAAGCTGTAGATAACACAGTTTCACACCCCCTGCCCGTGTCCTGCTTTCCCAATTTGTAGGTCTTTATTGCTAAAGGTTTTTGTGTTTATTTTATCAGACACATTTTATCATTCCTCTCCAAGCACCCTTTGTCAAGTCAGCCTTTGAACTTCTTTGGCATATATTTCAAATGGGACCAATGACTCCAGATATGTAAAAGACTTATCTTCTAATTCTAAAGAAAGAGGAACAGAACCATGGGCCTTTCTGTTTTAATAGGTCTTCCTGGGTCTGGTGTGTGTATGCTTGTGTGTGCATGGCTGGTGAGAGGTAAGATGTACAGTCTTGGTCTTTATCTTTAGTGCATAATTCAATAGATTACCCAACACAAACATCTTACGCCTTTTTGTGTGTGTGTGTGTGCATGAATTAGGCTGAATTCTCGGGCAGAGCAAAAATGCTAAGGGCTGCTTACACTGCACTGCAGTCCAGTAAGTAAGTGGGACTGAGTTCAAGGTCTGATCTTTGAGATTCCCTGTACATATAGCGCACCAGGCAGATTCTGCTTTCATCCCTCAGGGTTTGTGGTCAGACAACAAGGGCTGCTTGAGACTCTTGCGTTGCTCTCATTTGGCCTGGTGATCCCTGAAAACGAGGGTCAGTCCCTGCCTGAGAATTAGTGCTTATTCATATTATTTATATCTTAATGTAGAAGACAGAATCCATTCGGAGTACAGTAGATGAGTTTATAACTCTTCTCTCTCGCTCCCTTTTTCTCTCTCCTCCCCTTACTTCCTCCCTCCCTCCCTCCTTCCCCCTTTCCCGGCCTTCACTCCACATGTCTTATGCAAAACCCCACTCTGAAACTGTAAAAAGAAATCAGACTGAAAAGGAGGAAAGACAGAGACAGATTAAGAGGGTGACGCTTTTTCCTTCTCTGGACATAGGGGTCACATCTATCACAAACACAGAATATTGCTGCATTAGAGGAACTACACAGACTTTGTTAGAGAAAAGAGAAATGCAAAGAAAAAAGGAAAGGAAAGGAAGAGGAGGAGGAGGCAGAGAATGGGAAGAGGAAACAGAAGGGAAGGGAAGGGAAGGGAAGGGAAGGGAAGGGAAGGGAAGGGAAGGGAAGGGAAGGGAAGGGAAGGGAAGGGAAGGGAAGGGAAGGGAAGGAAGGAGAAAATTCTCTCTTTGCAGTCCTGCACATTTCCAGAGGGCGCCATGGAGGGTGCTGACCTCTGTCACTGAGTCCCCTTGGCAGGTCCCCTGTGTGTCTGGCTCTAGCAGGGTCATTCTCACAAAAGGGGATGAGTTTGCTTCATTGTTGCCATGTACAGAGGAGCTGACACATCTCAGTAAGATTAAAATTTGATCTTTAGGGTCCTGGACCCTTTAAGCAAATTCCTTCTGTTCATCTCATGTCCCTCCTCCTCCTCCTCTTTTCCTCTTTCTACTTCTCCTCCTTGTCCTCCTCTTTGTCCAGCTTTTCTTTCCTCACTGTTACCTTCCTGGGTGTGGACAGGCTGCCCACACCCTCAGTGGAGTGAGGGACATCCTCCGGCAAGCGTAGCCCCCAAATGGATGGCTCCAGTGTGAACCAAGTCACAAATCTGCACAAAGTGCTCCGAAATTCATTTCCCCCAAGCCAGCTCCGACTCTGATTCCCCATTCCCCTTTCCTTTCTCTCTTTTTTTTTTTTTTTCCAGTACAGGGAATCGAACTCACGACCTCGCGCTTGCCAGGCAGGCGCTGTGCCACTGTGCTAAATCCCCATTCCCCTCTCCCTTCCCTGCTGGCTCCTAGACTTCTCCCTGGTCCCTGGCCTGCTGTCCCAGGAAGCCAGAGTCTCCTTTTGTGGGTCCTCGTCGCAGGGCTCCCTGACGTCTGACAAGAGAACACAGGGCTATCACGTCTTTTGGCCTACCTGTGCCCCCTGGCCTGATTGGAGTACTCAGAACCCTTCAGGTCCTATTTTTCTACTTTTGGTCACTTCCAGATTGACTCTTCAGTGATGGAGATAATTTTCAGATTTTTTTTTTTTTTTTCTGGCAGAGAATTTATTTGGGCTTCTGGGAACTCAGAACAAATGAACTGTATTTGTAGAGTCAAGAAGTGCGTAATGAAAGCGAAATGCATCATGCTGCCCATCACTAGCCCTGGACCAAGGGCGGGAGGTGCAGCGCAGCCCTCCCCACTGGAACTCAGCAGCAGCTTGGAGTGTGTCCACAGGGGACACTGGGCGCTGGCTTCCGAGTGGGTGCTGTCCTCAGTCCTCATCCCTGGCCAGCACAGTGCCCAGGTTGGGCTTGTGCCCAAGTCACAGGGTGTTTGACTTCCTAGTGCTCACGCTGGCATTTTATTTCAATATTGTATGGCTTTTCAGGACAAGACCCTCACGGAGGCCACAGAAAGCCTTTGCTAGGGTTTCCTGGGGGCAGAAGGAAAGCTCGCATTGTAGGAAGGGGTTGCTTCTAGGTTTAGGCTTACAAAGCTGCTGTTCCTCACAGTGGCACAGGACCCAGAGGATGAAGAGTGCCGTGATGTAAGTGTACAATGACCCCCAGTGACTCACATGCGTAGCATTTGATCCCCAGTACAGCAATGTTCCGAGGTGGGACCTAGCGAGGTGACTGGCTCATGGGGGCACCACCCCCGTCAGTGGATTAATCCACGGACGAGTTCACGGCTATATGGGATATACAGAGATGGAGACTAGCTGGAAGAAGTAGGTTGCTGGAGATGTGCCTTTGAAGGGCGTGTCTTTCTTCTGGCTCTTCCCTGCTCTCTCTGTTTCCCCACCTTGGCAGCGAGGGGGTGGGGGGTCTTATGTACAAGAGGCACAGGGAGAAGGGAGGCCATCAGAGTAACTTATCTGACAATCATTTTGAACCCATACTTGGATAGAGGAGCAGCTCGCAGGCTGTTTGGTATTGGAGTCTGTGATGGGGACCAGGAAGGAACTGCCCTTCCAGCCTGCTCACTGGCTCCTAGTGGCTTCTCTCCATACTGCAGTGGGCTCTTGGTCATGGATCCAGGCTCAGTTTTTCTCATGCCATCTACTACAGTACTGCATCTGCTAAAACGACCCCTCCTCTTATTCCCTCACCATCCCTGGTATCGAATCCTACCTGCTGGTTTATTTTCACCAGTGCTTTGTCTGATTTAGTTTACTTATTTGTTGCCTGTCTCCATCCTCGAAGGGACAGATGGAGAGGATGGAGTGAGGAAATTTGTCATGTTCACTGCTGGAAGGAACCTGGCGTTAAGAAAAGTGCTCGGAACTAGGTGGACAGTCAGTGAACACTTTTCATGAATGAATGAATGAATGAGTGAGTGAGTGAATAAGTGAAAGCATGAGTGAATGAAGGGCGATAAGCCGGAACTGCCACCTCCGCCAACCTGTTGATACCATGAGGGAGTTCAGATCTCAGACCAAAGGAGTAACTACTTCCAGGTGCTGTGCGTAGGGGAATATTTTCTTCAGGGTTTGCTATTTGCTCCTTTGTCAGTGTGACCCCAGGGTCCCAGGCCAGCTTCTCTGCTCTTCTTCTCTCTTTTGTGATACGCTTGGTATCTTAAGGGCTTCAGAGGCTGATCCTGTCAATAACTTAACGAAGCCCCTCCCCACCTCTGCTTCAGGCTTGTGGTAACCCTACCTGGCCATCAGTAAAGGAGCCTCTTCCCAATATACTGCTGTGGATGCTCTAGTTATACAAATTATGGTTTTTCTCTCAGATGGTAAATATTTCCTGCCAAATCAGAACCAACAAACCTCCTCTGTATACTCCGTTGTCCCAGCCTGTCCCATTCCTTTTACATGTTCGCAATACTGCTTCCACTGTTTTCCTCGTCTTTGCGGGTACAGGCCAAATTGGATAGGAAGAGACCTCACAGCTTTCAGGGAACCTATATCCGATGCCAGTCTGAAACTCCAGGGCAATATCAGAATTGTTTTCAGAATTACAGTACGGGATGCCTAGGGATGAATACTGATTGGGTCTGAGCGCAGTGGTCTGGATCAGTGCAGACACCCAGGGCCTACACCTGACGGGAGGAGGGACGCACATTCATCTCTTGCAGCAGGAAAAGGATGCTGTAGGACCTTGTGCTGAGATGAGCAGGGCTCACCTGCAGGGCTTGGGAGTATCCT